CGTAGTTATCTCTAATCTGAATTGCGTTAGAAATCACTCTAAAATAACTGAGATTTTCACTTCTTATTAAGACTAACTGTTGAACAGCAAATACTAGTTTTCAGTAAGATGCATCTTTGCCACGATGACTTTAATCAATTTATTTGAGAATTTCAGTAGAAACATCCCATGAGACGATAAGTCTGTTTTGAAATTATTAAGACCGGGGTGTGAGTGTTCCTCTTTTCGTGATTCACACCCCCACCGTTTTGTTCAAAATTAAATTCTACCTTTTATGGCATAATAATAGTTCTCATAGAGTAAAACTCGCTTTTGAAAACATGATGTTCCAAAGTGTACTCAAAGATGCCGACTTTTACCAGTTCCAAGTCTTCTTCTCGTGAACACCAGCTGGAGAAATTTTGAACAGGTAGCGAAGGCATAGAACACATAATTCTCTATCTATTCCGTAGACTGTAAAAATAGGGTCTAGAAGTAGTAATTCGTCTGTGTGTATCTGTAACTTACTAACAATAGAGTGATTATGGTATCAAGGATCATCTGATAGCTATGGCAAAGTAGGGTACCAATAACTGTGCAGGATAACAGAAAAGAGCATCTATGCATAAGAATTTAAATTAACCGATTTTTAGTATTCCAGGACGAAAATTACGAAACCAGTATAAGTTTGGCTTTCTACTCGATCTGACCGTATTTTTCAGTATTGTATGATTCAATATTACAATCGTATTTCGCCATTTCGTCTACGGTGGTGTGTGGGTGTTGATGTCGGCCTAGTGAAACAGACACGCAATAGTCATACCCACACTCACACCCACCCCACATACCCAAATCGTGGAATGGCGAAACTACTGCAAAAATCCCACTTTTCTACCTACAATCTATTTTTGCAGTATTTTCATGATATATCTGCTATTTCTCGGTCAAGTGATGAAGATTTGTTTATCAAAATGATCAGCAGAAAAAGTTCTCCAGACATTGAAAGTTTCATTCGATTTGAAGATGGTCATTGTAACAACAGGAGGATCCTGGCGGAATCACCGAATAGCTTTTCTCACCCTCCTTCACCCTCAATAAAATTATCAACTTTAAATCAAACAAAACTTCAGAAATTTTTATTTACTTAAATTTATTTTCTTCGTGTTCGCAAATGAGAATTAGTCCAATGTGTATTAATTTTATTTGTTTTTTAAAGCTGGATTTCAATATGCATTTCTATTGATTGAGCATCATATTGAATACCAATAAATTCGTCAAAACCTCGTTCATCTGGTTTTACTAAGTATATACTTATCACTGAACAAATTTGATTGATGGGTCGTCTATTCAACGTTTTCACATATTTACGTGCAAATGTTGCAGATTCTGTTAATGAGTAAACAAGAATGAGAAAATATATTATTCAGCACATGCATCAGGTTCTTTTATATTGACTTTTGCATAATTGATTGATATAGTTAACTTATGATTATTTTCTATATCATGTAATTTGGTATGCATATTTTCATGAAAAATTAATGTTAGTACGTCCAATTGCAATAATTCTAATGGTGAAGATGAAATATGAATTTTATAGTTTAATAGAAAACGATAATCATTAACATTTTTCTCTTTCTCTAAATGCTCTTACTTGAAATGCTCTTCTAACACGTAAAAAATTCAATTTGTATATCATAAATTGTTTATTTTAAATCATTGTTATCAATTTCTTTTTGTTTTGTTAATGTAAAATATATTGTTTCAATAATACGAATAATCTGGTTACTTAATAAAGCAGTTTTAAACTCATCGATAATATTTTAATTTAATCCTAATTCATACAATTTTACTTCTTGTTCTATTGTTTGTATTGATACAATATGTTTGATAATATCTTGTATTTTCGTTATATTCTTTATCTTGAATTTTGAAATATGCAAAATCAATAATAATTCAGCTTCTAAATAATGATCTATTGAACTTTCTAATAAAGTAGGTATTTTTTTAAAGTAGATTAAATTCCATTGATCATTTCTGTATGATAGCTATAAATTAGTTAATATACTTTTACGTCGTAAATTTATTGGTGAATTATATTATGGTTGTGGGTGTCTGTGTAGACGTGTCAGTGAGTATTTTCATCTTCTAATCATCCACACACGAACCCCACCCCCACATCCTGAGAAGGATACGAGTGTACCTGTATCCTTATGAGGGGATGTAGACTTGACTAGGAGTTGTTTGTGTAACTCTGGCGGTGTGATGTGAGTGGGTTTCATTATTGGCTTTTATGGATGTGGACTCTAGCAGGCTTGGACGTTGCTGTGGATGTAATTATGGCTATATAGAGAAACCTCACACATGCCAGCAGCTACAACTACCCCCTAGTACTCACACCAATTCAAAGTGTTAAAACTAATTTATGGGTCCCAAAGACCGCGTTTAAACGATTGCAGATATTTTAATTTAAACTCTTCAAACGGGCAAAACGTGTCAAATGACTAAACATTTTCCAACACTTAAAACGCTTTTTCGGAGGTATACCACACCGTTTAAACAGTTGAAAATCATGGTATTTAAACACTGTTCTTCCCGGTTCCTTGTCTGCCGAGGTATTTTGGTGTCTTTCTGAAATGAACGGTAATGTGATGTTATGATGATAAGGAAAGCAATTTTGGCATAATTTCTTTAACAATTCAATCATTAACATTGAACAAGAAGCTCACACGACATCAAAGTGCTGTCTATATATATATAATTGGATTACATATACAATTTTTCTTGTTCTCACATCTTCTTTCTCACATAGTTCGATTCCAAGAAAATTACAAATTCTGTTCTTTATTAGAAATTTCGCTAGCATACATATCTGCTGTAATCTTTTGCACTTCAAAAAGAGACAATCATAATTAGTGATGACATTGGCAAACCCGCCTGATGCTAGTGACCTTTGAGATACGCCAGCCAGAGACTAGGAAAGTCTATTGAATTAACATTTATATCTTAGTATGTTCAAAAGTATACGCATCCTTTTTCTTACAAAGTCTATGAAGCGAATAAAAGATTTCAGCATAATAAAACCCAACTTCGTTATCGTTATACTTTTTTAGCATGATAATGGTTCACAGGCAGCTTTCGAAGTTACTCGCACGGAAAAGCTGAAACGTGTGATTATATCGGGCGTCCAAAGTAGGTAATATTTTTTACGAATTTTTTAATATATACTTTCAAAAATTCCTTTTGTTTTCATGTCAAAAGATGCACCGTGAAATTTTCTACAAAAACCGTTTGGAAAGTTTCATTAAAAATAGATGAAAATGGAAAGCTGCACAAAAAATATTAAGAAACACTAAAATCGTCAACTTTCTAAGCAAATAATGAGAGCTTTAGCGATTTTTATTTTGTTGAAATGCTAGCATATGAAAGTGTACCTATCCACTTTGCAGTAAATGAAAAGATTCATATTCTACTTATAATTAATAACAAATTACTCCAAAATCAAACAGAAGTGAATCAGTTTTTTTTAATTATTTCCACTAAAATCCTTACTATTGACCTGAAGCTTCGCAGCTTTTTAGTTAATTCTTAAAGGTGTCTCACAGTAGTATATTTTAAACTCGAGCTTGTTTTATTTTGCTAAGAAGTGGCATGTTTTCTATATTCAACTAGAAAACGTGCAATGCTTTGTCAAGTTTAATAGGCTGGTTGAAATGATAAAATGTCACGAACGATTCAGTTCATTTTAAAAAAGTTATCATTTTTTCTGTAATACTAGGTTCTGATGAATTCTACGCGACACCAGAAGAAAGAGCGAACTTGAAATAATAAGAGACCTTATTTGCATATATCATGATGCTTTTTGAACGTTAGATACTATTTGAGTATGCTGAAAAGTAGTTTAGAAAGTTCACTGTTTGGAAGTTTTTATATTTTTCGTGTAGCTTTTCGTTTCTATGTTTTGTAATAAAATTTTCAATGCAATTTTTGTAGAGAATTTCACGACAAATCTTTTGGCATGGAGATAAAAAAGATTATTGAAATTATACGTAGTAACAATTTCGAATAAAAAATAGCCTATTTCTTCTGCATCATTCGATAAAATCAGATGCATATGTACAGGAGTGGTATAAATATCAAGATTTAGTTTGATGATTGAACATGATTCATGGCGCGCTGTAGCTGTCTGCATTCATTATGACGAATGAACTTTTTCACTTATATTTGTTCAGAAAGGTCATATTATTTTAGTTCATAGGTTAGTTATTTTTTACTCTAGAAAAGTAGATTGAAGTGGAAGCATATCTGAACAATCGATCAAGGAAACAGTTTTCTAATGTCATAAAGTTGACATAATGAAGGCTGAAGTTTTTCTTGATGGCACTGCATTGTTTCGAAATTCACTGTGTTAACTGGTTTCGCTAATGTTTTATTTGGGAATCTTTGTTACTAAGGAGTACCATGTTCATGAATTTGGCCTTCATAATCGTGTTATTTCATTTGTCACCTTCTGATTGGTTTGAATTTTTATGGATTATAGTGTTTCATTTGCCGCGGTTAACTGATTATGTTATGGTAGCTTCGCACAGATACAGAAGAGCGGCACATATTTTAGTATGTATATAAATAGTAAAAATAGTTTTCGTTTACCTTAGTGGTTAATCGAGCTAATAAATATATTTAACTTGTCTTTTTTCTTCCTTCTAGTGTAATTTTTACTATTTTACAGCATCTTATTGTCTTGATAATGGCAACTGAGTTGTCGAAACTTAAACTTATCGATATAAAAAATAAAAGAAAACTAAAATAAAAAGCTGTTGTTTTGTTATTTATTTTATTTCAAAACTTTGTCGTATAAACGAACAAAATTAGTTGCATTGAAATTATGATTTTTAGGAGAATCGAACCAATAAATACATTTGTATTTATCAGCTATTTGCTTGAAATCTAAATCAAAAATTAGTTTTGACAGTTGTCTTAACATAAAAAAAGAAAATCATTAATCGATAAATCGTTGTCGTTTGTTAGATTTTAAATCCATAATTAATCATGATTCCATGATTAGTAATACCATATGTCGGATTAGGTTGAGAATCCAAAGAAATGCAAGTGGGTTCAGTTAGATGACCAGTTTCAAGAAAGGCGTTTCGAATTATATCTGGACTTAACGGTAAATCAGTAAATGTATCACCATTAAATGTATACGAGGTTGAATTTTTAAATGAACAAATTAATAACATTCCACCAGACTCTAAAAGATCACTAAAACGCAAAATCGTTTGCTTTAATATGTTGTATGATGAACAAGCACTTTCAAGACAGAAACTCGAGAAAATCATCTGAAATTTTTGTTGATCATTTGGAGAATCGATAAACAAAGAATTTATTTTATTAACATCACATCGAAATATTTTTCTATTTCTAAGTGCAGAACGAAGTTTGGTTTCATATTCAAATTCATTGTGATGATGACCTTGTTTAATATCTAATACATAATTAAAAAAAGGTTTCCAATTGAAGGCATCGGGTTTTTCATCTAACCAATCTTGAATAGATTTTAAATTTGAAGGAGCAAAATCACAAAACCATATTTGATCAAAATATTCAGCTAAAAGAAGAGATCCCCAAAGACATGGACCACCACCAAATTCTAATACAATTTGTTCTTTTTTGTTTAGTTTAGTCTGTAAAAGTTCATTTATATTTGATACAAGAGGATACATTACAGGCAACCATTGGCCATTAATTTGTTGACAGAACGAAGTCAAATAAGCATTTGCATTCCATTTTTCTAAATAATCACTTTCTTTCCATGGATTCAAAATCTTTTCTTCTGTTTTGTTTTTTTCTTCAACATCATCAGTCATAATTTTCTCTTTAGTTACAAATAATTCAAAGGCGATGTTTTATTTTTTTTTTTCTAGTTAATAGATAGGAGTAGAACCAAATGCTTTACTCGTGCAAGTGGTGATTTAAATTGGTAACTACGGTTGCGCATACAGTATTACAATACTTATCTCTTTTTTTTATCTGGTGTTAACAGCACATACCCTCATTGCATGATTCTATCCTATCCTCTGTTCGTTTATATCGAGAGAGAAAAGTAAAAAAAAACGAAGATAGAGGCCGCGGGTGGGTGAGCGTTGTTGAACCGATAACAGATTCACACTTACACCCACACCCGTACCCACACACTTAATGCTGTCGAGCGAAAACAAGTGATTTGAATAGCAGATAAAATCAATTATACTGACCAAAAATCGCTTATGCTGTGGATATGAATGTGAATGTGTTAGTGAGGTTCTTCTCCTGAAACACAACTACATTCACCCACACTCATGACAGAATCTATTGACATTGTACTATGAATTCAGATGCATCTTTCGGTATATTCTCAAAAGCTTCTATTTTCAAAAACAATGATTTTGCCAATCGCGTAGCCAGGGGTACGACCATTGGGCAATTGCCCACTAATTCAAAAGTAATTGCCCATGGATTTTTTGAAACGATACCAATTGCCAAATCCAGAAAAATCTTGATACATATACAAGTACAAAAATCTAAGTGACGTCACCTTAATACATTGTATCATGTTGTAATCTAATCAAGTGTTCGTGCAAGATCAACTGACTATTTCTTCCATTAAACCAATGCTCACAATGATGGCAACTCAATGATATTTTTTTGTCACAATCCTCATTATTTCACTTAAATTCACTACTGGTTCTATTTTTGCTTATTTATTCTATTTGGCCTAATATATTCAAATATTAGAAAGTTGAAGGGTACATTTGTGAAACAGTCCAAAACAAGGTGTTAATGCAATTCCTGCGGGATTAAAAATGTGAAACACGATGTAGCTATTGTTACTAATCACGAGAATATTGTTTTATTCAATCTATCTCGACATCCATTTCTTTATCATCTTTTACTTAATCCTCTAGAACTGCAAGAAGCAAGTAGTTCATATATTCTGATGAGATGCTAGTGATCTATGGTTGCTAATCGTGTATCAAAACATCTATCACCATCTGTGGAGGAACACAGTGAACAGCCAGGCGACAAAATTGATTTTCGAGATTTGAATATATGCCATAGCTAGCATTGAAGCTGCTGTGATGCTGCATTTAAGTATATCCTGGATCCTGCTTGATAATGAGTGTCTGTTAAGCGGCAGGTATTACAAAGTACATAAAATTGGTGAATATCATTAATAGGATCATATAAGTAAATTGTATGCTTTAAATTAAGGATCTAATTATAATCATTAGTTATTATATAGTTTCACAGTATTATGTATATACTATATATTATAGGCCATTTGAACTTCTTGAAGTTCTTTAGGTTGTAGTAAGATGAAAAACTTACACTCAGTATATTGAAAAACAATAAGCACTGGTCAATAATGCAGTTATTTTCCAGAATTTTCCAGGAACTTTAATTCGAGTTTCAATTTGGTATTTGGTAGAGCATGTCATCATCTATCTTTACCAGATGGGCAAAGATGAAATGTTTAAACCCTTATAGAGATATAGTGTCTCAAATGTAGCCTTCGATCAAAATTTGTTAGCAATTTTTATACAATGATCATTTATGTTCTAGTTCATCAAGTTTCGAACAGATAAATAAGCAGCACACGTACACCAACCTCAGGTTTTAGATTGGCTATTTCATTTTAAAATCGGTTGTTTGACTCTTTCTTAGGAATTAAATACATGGAAAACCTTTGTATTAAATTTATTACTGATTAGAGATTTGGCATGAAAGTTTTATTTCATTTTACTGTACATATCACACTAATAAAACTCTCATGTCATATCTTTACTCAATAATAAATTTGATGCAAAGTGTGGTAGCATAAAAAGATAAAAGGAAAAAAGACTTTTGTCCAAGGTTGTAAATGATTTGTTTCATGCTTTTATAATTTTCACGTTCGTAAAAATACATCGAGTTGCACGATCTTTTTAAATTTTGTTCGAGACAGATAATGTTAGTTGAATTGAATAATTTTCTTAATAACAGCTAACAAAGATTGCAATACATACTCATGCTATGAATATTGAGAAAATTAGGTTTTAAACAGAACTTCAGAAAATATGACAAACTCGGGAATTCATTTTAATTCGTTGCAGGATATAATGGGGAACGATTTAAAACTTTAAATAACATTTATAAAAATTTTCTACAACATATCAGATCAGCGAGACATTGCTGAAACTTGCGAAATACTATAAACTGACCCGAAGTATTTCTGTCATTTTGTTTTTTTTTTGTCATAAACTTCATAGCATCAGTCAGCTCATTTCAACGTCACGGCTAGACTTGTGTCAAACCTGAACAATCGAATGTGATGAATTTCCTTCAATATTGGTTGACTCGAGTTTGGGCACTTTTATACCATCCTCATCTGTACATTTTCAAAATATAATCTGATGCATAAATAAAAATTTTAAACAAGGAACTGGGTCTTCTATGTAATCACGTACCTAGTCAAAACCGTAGCTTCTCAAAAGAGATGCTTTTTCGAATAATATACAGCTACTTAATGATTAAGTAGCTGATTGTCTTGTAGCAATTTTTTGTTTATAGCAGTAAAATCTAGCGCTATTTAAACACTATCATAGCTACTTAAAAGATTCAATAGCTATTTAAGAAAATAATACAGCTACTAAACGATTTAAATAGCGAACTTCTTTATAACCATTGTTTGTTCATTGTACTAGTACATGTAATCAATTAGTAAAAATTTAGTGCTATTAAACATTATCAGAGCTATTTAAAACGATTTATACAGCAATGATATGATTTAAGTAGCTAATTCATTTAAAAAAAATGTTGTATTGTACTTCTTCGAGAACCTAGCTACTGAACTTCTACCGTTATTTAAGGATTATCGTAACGATTAAATTATTTTTCATAGATATTTAAATGAATTTAATAACTAACTAAAAGCATCTAAATAGCTATTCAATGATTGAAATTGTTGCAACTATTGTATTAGTATTTGGTTTATTGCTCTACAGTATGTTAAAAGCAATTGAAATCTAACGTTCTAAAATATGATCGTATTTATTCTTAAGGTGTCAAAATTATTCAAGAAAAATAAACTCAGATTTTAGATAATTAAAATAACTAAATCTGCCTGCTTGTCATTCGCAGCTGATAATTTGAACTACATTAAAACCTCTGATAGTGAGCATCTCTCTATAGTGAAAATCTCGTTATTATGAGCGTTCTTAAGCAGTTCGAAAAATCATTTTTTGGTCAAAGTGGACCTCTCGAAAGTAGCCACCTCCTTATTGTGAACGGTTTTGAATAGTCCCAATCGTGCTCACTTTAGGAAGACTTCACTGTATTTAATTTGACAATGCAATCATTCATTCTACCCGAATATGGAAATCTACTTAGCATACAACGCATATCTTTCCACTGTGAGTCATATTGAAAACTATGCTCAGTTTTTAAGAATGCTCATAGATTGAAGAGTAGCTCATTCAGCAATTTTCTTTTTTTTTGCCCTTACTCGAAACAAGCCAGCAAGAATAAATGAGTAGGTTAGTGTTTAATAAATAGATTTGAATATTTGCTCAGTGGAGTTGGAAAATTTTAAATACTGATTAGGATTGAGTAGCGCAATAGCTTCAAATATACAAAAATAAATAAATGGCTACCAATAAATTTTAAATAGATATGTATATATATTAAGTAACTATGAATATAGATTAAGTAGCGTTGCAAATTGACTAAGTGATACTAGAAATCGTTAAGTAGTGCTGATGATTAAGTATCTAGGCGGTAGAAATATAGAGAATCAATAAATAGTTAAATCTTTATGAAAATGAACAATATCTATGCAAATCGCTATTAAGCATGTCTGCTTGCTTTTTTGTATGTGCTTTGTTTATACAACAATTGTATCTCTTTTGAGCATGATCCAGATCATTCTACTTTTTCTCTTATTCAAATGCTGCTCAAAATATCTAGTCACAGAGTTGTAACAATGCATCAGGAAAAGTGTGAGAAAAGTTTTTGACACTTGAGCAAATCCATCTGAAACATACCACTTTTTACATGAAGGTCGGCGCCAGCGGCGGGACTTAGTGTATTTTGTAGAGAATTTTTTTCTGATTAAAACGTACGGACTGAAAAATCGAGGACTGATGCGTGAGTTCAGATAAAGACAGAACACTTTTACGTTGATAGTGGTGCCATCTATCATATTTTCCTGATAAAAATGACTTTTTTGATGCTGCCTTAAATAAACTATTCCTGCATAGGTTCTATCTATATCGGCATCAACNTGATTATCTTTTTTCATAAGGGAATTTCATGAAAGAAATAAGTCGTAATATTATATTCGTACAGTTCGATCATACACATGACAAACATTTTATGGATAGAAAGGAATAAAAACTGGAACGTAATTCTATTGATTCAAGTGACTAAGAATAAGCTACACTAGCTTATCTCGACCATATTGTTTCTATAAAGTTTATTTCAATTGGTATCTTTTTACATTTATCAAATACTTTCTCCATATCTGTCGATTAGTTGCTTTCAAATAACCAATTATACACTTCTTTTTGTTCATATCGTCGTTTACATCTGTCTTGATCAAGTCAGTCATTTATGTTAGGTCACCTCTCTTTGTTCAATTCATTCTTTCTTATCATTGAACTCTTTATAAATACTTGTTTCATTTTCGATTACTTTCAGATTAAATCATTATTATCTTTATTATTAATTTGTCTCGGTTGTTGTAACTAAGCCGTTCTTTCGATTCATATTAATTTGCGTTCATATACCTTATTAATATCGAATTAATTCCACTGGATTTTGTTCAATTGGTCTTTTGTTATTTAACTTTCATCGTTTTTCTGAATTGGTTTTATTTGATTTATTTCTACGAATACTTCGTTTATTACCAATTTATTATATTTCCACGATTATTCTTGTCAATTGATATTATTTTCGATATATAGACACGTCTATTTCGTCCATTGATATCGGTTATTGGTTTATTTTATTACCAAAATTCTCATTCAACCAATTTTGTCATTTGATTTAACTCATCAGATACATTTTCTTCAATTCGTGATCTTAAATTATATAATTAATCATAAAATGTCGTCGGATGCATGGGACCAGAAAATAGGACGTGCGAGAATATTATTAGATAAAGATAAAGAAGATGATGCGTTAAAAGTATGTAACATTTTCTTTGTCTAAGTTTAATGAATTTGTTATACATTGACAGATATTAACAGAAATAATAGACGCCATGTCCAAAAATCTTGCAGGTCTTAAGGATGAAGAAAAGGCAGATTTTATAACAACAGCATGTCTTCAGCGCATCAACATAAATTTTAAGAAGAAAATGTACGAAGGTAATTGAATCTAAGCTTTCAATGTTTGGTCCTCAATCAAATCAATGCTTTTAATTTATTTTTTTTTCATAGAGGTGTCAAGCGACTTTAATATTTTGGAAAACAATCACTACGACATTTATCTTCATCGCGATTTATGTCNCGATGATGTAAGCTTACAATTGGCAGTAAGATTAAAAAATGACAACTCAATTATACTAGCTTCCGCAGCATGGATGACGAGCTAAACTCGAGAAAAACTAACGCAGTATCTTAAACCGTTTGTTTACAGAATTTTTTAATCAGTTCTTTTTCTATCAAAAAAATTCCAAATAAATTGTGTTGTTATATACAGGCATTTAGAAATGTTTCACATTATGATAATGTTCAAAACAAAATGTTACACAAAGCCCAACGCTACAAATATGATACTGATAACGTGTGAGTGTCGGCGTGTGGTGGTAGGGGTGGGTATGGGTATGGGTGTGACTGTGGGTGTTGATATTATCTCTGCATCCACACTCTACTCACACCCACACCCACACGCTTGATTCAAGTGACCAAGAATAAGCTACACTAGCTTATCTCGACCATGTTGTTTCCATAAAGTTTATTTCACTTGGTTCCTTTTTACAGTTATCAAATAGTTTCTTCATATTTGTCAATTAGTTGCTTTCAAATAACCAATTATACACTTCTCTTTGTTCATATCGCCGTTTATATCTATCTTGATCTAGTCAGCCATTTATGTTAGGTCACCTCTCTTTGTTCAATTCATTCTTTCTTATCATTGAATTCTTTATAAATACTTGTTGCATTTTCGATTACTTTCAGATTAAACCATTATTATCTTTATTATTAATTTGTTTCGGTTGTTGTAACTAAGTCGTTCTTTCGATTCATGTTAATTTGCGTTCATATACCTTATTAGTATCGAATTAATTTCAGTGGATTTTGTTCAATTGTTCTTTTGTTATTTAACTTTCATCGTTTTTTTGGATTGGTTTTATTTGATTTATTTCTACGAATACTTCGTTTATTACCAATTTATTATATTTCTACGATTATTCTGATCAATTGATATTATTTTCGATAAATACACACATCTATTTCGTCCATTGATATCGGTTATTTGTTTATTCTATTACCAAAATTCTCATTCAACCAATTTTGTCATTTGATTTAATTCATCAGATACATTTTCTTCAATTCGTGATCTTAAGTTACATAATTAATCATAAAATGTCGTCGGATACATGGCACCAGAAAATAGGACGTGCGAGAATGTTATTACGTAAAGATAAAGAAGATGATGCGTTAAAAGTATGTAACATTTTCTTTGTCTAAGTTTAAAGAATTTGTTATACATTGACAGATATTAACGGAAATAATAGACGCCATGTCCAACAATCTTGCAGGTCTTAAGGATGAAGAAAAGACAGATTTTATAATAATGGCATGTATTGAGCGCATCGACATATATTTTAACAAGAAAATGTACGAAGGTAATTGAATCTAAGCTTTCAATGTTCGGTCCTCAATCAAATCTATGCTTTGAATTTTTTTTTCATAGAGGTGTTAAGCGACTTTAATATTTTGGAAAACAATCAGTACGACATTTATCGTCATCCCGATTTCTGTCTAAAAAAGATGTAAGAGACATATGGCTAGATAATTGACATTACTTGTGCTAATGTATTTAGGGAATCAATGGAGAAAATAACTCGAGCTAATTTAGACATGGCATTCAAGAAAATGAAAGTAATTTGTAAGTGATTTCAACACCGATCGCAGGGATGGGCGAGTCCGAGTCAAAACTCGGACTTGAGTCGCATTTTTTTGATGACTCTGACTTGACTCGGACTCGAAGATTGGGGGACGTTGACTCGACTGTTTGACTCGAGTCTTTCACTCAAAAAAAGTTTTCCTTTACTCTCACAAAAAAAATACAAATTTATAAAATTAAATTATCATTTATCTCATAACTTTCGTTCTAATTGAATATATTGCATAAAAATAATTTTTCAAGAGCTTTTTCCTACCTATGTATTCATATGGTCGTTAATAATAGTCCTGCTAAATAGAATCATACGTGCTTCTGC